ACAGCCACACAATATTTCAAGGCCCAAGGCAAAGACCGTGTATATTTGTAGAGCAGGGATGCTTCCAGGGATTGAACAACAGCACAAAAACAATTCTATGCTCCAGAGAAGACATTTATAATTGAGCTTGGGCACAGTTAGTTAACAACACTGGCCTCAAAAACAATAAGAATTTCATAAACCTAAGTTACATCCAAATACACAGTTTCTATGACTCACCTTAGCATCGAGTATATATTCAAGACTATTAATGCTTTTGGGTAAATTTGCTTGATTCGAAGCTCCTGAAAGAGTAACATATACGCATGAAGAAACTATGAAACCAAGTAACTGCAACTTTACAAACCCATACTATACGTCCACTAAGTTTGACAGCCAATAGAAAGATCAGTCCTAGATGCAGGTTATATGACATGGGAATCCAAAAATCCAAAAATTATTCAGAGTAACTTTACCACGCCGTACATTATGTTTTACTTTTTTCTTAAAAAAATGGATTCATAAAGAAACAAGGAGTCATATGCAAAGACAATATTCCCATGCTTTAGATCCTATAGTTTAGGACTGATTGACTAACTATAAGGAAACTACAGCTGTCGAGATACAATCACATATTTACAGGGATTCTAGTAATTCTAGTCTATATGTACAGCTGGCAGTAGAGACAAATTAGGGCCTATAACTAACTTGGAGATAATTACTGTTGATTGTTAACACTCCCTCTCAAATTGGAGCGTAGATATAGCTCATGCCTAGTTTTTTGAGACAATCATTAAGTGCTTGGTTTGACACTGCCCTTGTCAGCATATCAGCAAGCTGGTCTTGAGATCGAACATAAGGAACTACAATCAATTTTTCTTCCAACTTCTCCTTGATAAAATGCCTATCAACCTCAACAATGTTTAGTTCGATCATGTTGGACAAGATTATGGGTAATATCACACACTATCTTATTATCACAATATAACTTCATAGGGCTAACTTGCTTAATATGTAAATCTTGCATCAGATTTCTAATCCACAACAATTCGCATATTGCCTTAGCTGTTCCTCTGTATTCAGCTTCAGCATTGGATCTAGCAACTACCTCCTGTTTTTTACTTCGCCAAGTAACCAAATTTCCTCCTACAAACGTGAAATAGCCAGATGTAGAACATTTATCTTTAATTGACCCAGCCCAATCAGCATTTGTATAGCCGTTAATATCCAAATTGTCTCCTTTTGTGAATAAAATTCCCTTTCCTAGAGATGACTTCAAGTAGCGTAAGAGACAGATGACAACATTCATATGTTCTTCGCTAGGGGAGTGCAAGAATTGACTAACCACACTCAGCGCATAAGCTAAATCAGGCCGAGTATGTGCAAGATACATTAATCTTCCAACCAGCCTCTGATAGCGTTCCTTGTTAGCAAGAACTTGATTTGAATGCACACATAGTTTCAGATTTTCTTCCATAGGAATGCTCGCTGGACTACATGTCGTCATACCAATTTCATTCAGTAGGTCTAAGGCATATTTTCTTTGTGAAAGAAATATCGGACACTTCATCAGAACAGATGTCAGAGTCAAACCCATAATCATCAGGAACAACATCTATGGGTGTTTCATCAAATCCAATCAGTCTGGCTTCCATCTTGCAACAATATTTTAAAAACTCCTCCAAAGGTATAGACTTGGGCTGTAACCTTTTGCCTGCAGATGAGCGTCTAGTTGCTGGTTTTAATTTTAGAGTCTGTGAAGTAAGCAATTAGACGTTTACCTTTATCTGTACATTAAAAACTTCAAGAAGGATGTCTATCCACATATAACCCTGAACAATAAAATACAACCTCCCCAAGCAAGACCGGTATATTTTATTACAGTTTAATAATCAGAAAACAATAATTTTTAATGCATAGATTTTGTTGCACAGGGCAACTATCACTCTTTCCAAATCCCATGAGATCTAAGGTAAACAACCAGAGAAGAGGGGTAGATGAATAAAATGTTTGAAAATAAGTCTAAATGGGTTAGTAGGACTGGATACAACTCAGCTGATAAATTGTCAGATCTACCAAGGTTCAGTGTGCATCTATGCACCACAATAGCCTCGATATGCCTGGCTAGACTTGGTGTACATCTAACTGCACCACAATCCACAAGCTACAGAACACCTCATTGCTAATAAACTAGATGGAAAACCTAAAAAAATAAGTATAATGTACAATATTTTCAAATGTACAGTGAAAAGATAACAAGAAAAATATATATTTGAATTCAGCAGTCAGCCACACAGTATTTCAAGGCCCAAGGCAAAGACCATGTATATTTGTAGAACAGGGATGCTTCCGGGGATTGAACAACAGCACAAAAACTATTCTTTAAGCATGCTCCAGGGAAGACATTTACAATAGAGCTTGGGCACGGTTAGTTAACAACACTGTCCTCAAAAACAATAAGAATTTCATAAACCTGAGTTACATCCAAATACACAGTTTCTATGACTCACCTTAGCATCAAGTATATATTCAAGACTATTAATGCTTTTGGGTAAATTTGCTTGATTCGAAGCACCTGAAAGAGTAACATATATGCATGAAGATTTGAAGAAACTATGAAACCAAGTAACTGCTAACATTACAAACCCATACTATATGTCTACTAAGTTTGACAGCCAATAGAAAGACCAGTCCTAGATACAGGTTATATGACATTGGAATCCAAGAATCCGAAAATTCTAGAAAATTCAGAGTAACTTTACCATGCCGTACATTATGTTTTACTTTTTTCTTAAAAAAATGGATTCATAAAGAAACAAGGAGTCATATGCAAAGACAATATTCCACCATAAACCATCCCATATAAATGACAGGAGGAATTCATCATAGGTCTCTTGGTTGACATAAAGTATTGCAGGCTGACAATTTGGAGCAGATGTATTGTCTAGTTGATTGTGTACAAGAAGTCCCAGACTTTACAACGATATAGTTATACTACAAACTCTAAAGAGAATGGCAAAGTTATGCACTTATGGCCTGTGAATAGCAAAGAGTCCGTTACATTGCTGTTTCTAGTTATCATTCTCTTCTCACAATTTTAAATCTCAATCTTCATTAAATCTTTGTCTCATATTTTCATGCCTCCTAGGGATCTTAATAATAGATGGCTCAATTGTATGAATAAGCTTTCCCAATGCAAGTAAAATTTTCTCGTATCTGTTGTCAAGGCAATCATATAGCAAATTCATTAGCTAATATTGGTTATGACTTATGATAGCTTCAAAGATTAGAAACAAGAAAGAAACTAGGAGTCCTCATGCTTTCAAGATTTGAAAGTAAGAGAAGAAAGATCCACATAAACTCTAACAAAACTCCTCATTTAAACTTGACCTTCCAACAAAAATGCATACATGCACACAAATTTTCAGACAATTAATGCATATTAAAACTCAAAAGTTCAGGAGAAAAAGGGGAACTGTGTTACCTTTCCCCACAACTGGAGATGCAGTCATGCCAAATATTCGAGGAATTTTCATCTCTNGGTTGACATAAAGTATTGCAGGCTGACAATTTGGAGCAGATGTATTGTCTAGTTGATTGTGTACAAGAAGTCCCAGACTTTACAACGATATAGTTATACTACAAACTCTAAAGAGAATGGCAAAGTTATGCACTTATGGCCTGTGAATAGCAAAGAGTCCGTTACATTGCTGTTTCTAGTTATCATTCTCTTCTCACAATTTTAAATCTCAATCTTCATTAAATCTTTGTCTCATATTTTCATGCCTCCTAGGGATCTTAATAATAGATGGCTCAATTGTATGAATAAGCTTTCCCAATGCAAGTAAAATTTTCTCGTATCTGTTGTCAAGGCAATCATATAGCAAATTCATTAGCTAATATTGGTTATGACTTATGATAGCTTCAAAGATTAGAAACAAGAAAGAAACTAGGAGTCCTCATGCTTTCAAGATTTGAAAGTAAGAGAAGAAAGATCCACATAACCTCTAACAAAACTCCTCATTTAAACTTGACCTTCCAACAAAAATGCATACATGCACACAAATTTTCAGACAATTAATGCATATTAAAACTCAAAAGTTCAGGAGAAAAAGGGGAACTGTGTTACCTTTCCCCACAACTGGAGATGCAGTCATGCCAAATATTCGAGGAATTTTCATCTCTTTGGGTTTATAGAACTCCTACACAATTATGAAGATAATCTATGTCAAGAGATTAAAGTACACTGAGTGCAAAGTTCCTTACAGAAATTTTTATGTAACAAAAATAAACATGAATATATGTGACCATTACTTTCATTATTTGGGCATAAGGATGATTGCTTTTGACTTGAGCATGATGGCATTCATCAAATATCAGAAGAGCAATTAACTCCATCTTGATAAAGCGATGACATAAGCTACGAAATAGTATTTGAGGGATCATTACAAGAACCTGCACAAAACAGTCAGCAAAAACTAAAATTTAAAATGGAACAAATTGCATTCGATGAACTTGATAAGACTGACTGACTCACAATTATTGCATACCAATATTTGAAATTTTAAACTCAAGGAAGAACAATAAAACTTGATTCGCACGAATTCTTAAGTTAATATCAACCACAAGAGAAGTCAAGATCCAGAAAACAAGTTACCTCATATTTTTCAATCTCTTTTTCCCAATCATGATGGTTCTTGAGATGTGTAGAGCCTCCACAAAAGATCCCGACCTTCAAATCAGTAGAGTCTTCTATAACCCTCGCTTGCTACAAAAAACAAATAAATCCAATGGTAAACCAAACATAAAGTTAATACTAAGATGGGCATGCAGCTTTATCTTCAACTTTAAATTACAAAACACACCACCAAAAATCAGCTTAGACATGAAGATTTATCCTATGTTCAAACATTGCTTGAATTGTCTATAAGATGAAGAAACTCACCTGTTGAACAAGTGCAACAGTAGGCGCAAGAAAGACACATATGCTGTTCTGGGGTTTACGTATCAAATGAGACAGCTCATGTATGAGCAGCACAGCAATGTGGGTTTTGCCACAACCTGTCCCCAAATATACAATTATGTTCTCCTCCATTGCTTTCTTGCATAGCTCCAATTGATATCTTCAAAGGAGACAAAACAACACAAAAAATGTCAGCCATATTTTTCCCGCAGCTAATAAGAAAAGAATTCGTGGAAAAAAGTAATTTGTGATCAACAAATGAAAAATGCAAAAGACACATATGGAACAGCCAAATACTTTAAAAGCTTAAGCTTTAACCCAATGATGTAACCTGAAACCAGTCACCCTCAATTTTGAGGGCAAAAAGTGAATCAATAAATAAAAAATTTCCTGTTTACGGTGTCATGTTGAACAACCACTAATGAAACAAAAACAAGAAGAAAAAAGGTCTTTCTTTTTCTTGCCTTTTCCTTCATTTACTCACCAACCAAACAGAAGGCCACACTCTTTTAGATGACTAAATGAATACAAACTGGTTTAACAAACAAAAACCCACTTAAGCATCCAATGAAACCCAACTACTTGATTCTCATAAGATAACTCTCTAAAAACAAACAAACTAAAAGAAAAAAAAAAATCAAAATTTACTGTATTTTCCTGCAACTTTTTGCGCAATCAAACAAATAGTACTCAAAAGAACAAACCCACGTAAGAAAAGTAGTAAAACCACAGCTTAGAAAAGAAAAGCAACCCAGAACATTAAGAATAATTCAAACTTCACTAAAATTTTCCTCCAATTCTCTGACTAACCAAACGAAAACTGATAAAAAAAAAAAAAAAAAAACCCACATATTAAAAAAGTAGTGAAACTTCAGAATGGAAAGAAAAGCAACCCAAAACATAAAAATTCAAACTTACATTTTCCTCTAATAAACAAACCCAAATCAGGAAGTAGAAAAACCACACGACAGCAAAGTAAAGCAACCAAACACATAAAGTTCAACCTTTACTCAGATTTTCCTCACATTTTCTGGCCAACCAAACAAAAACTAATAGAAGGAACTAACCCACATAAGAAAAAAAGCAAAACAACACAATGACATACTTTCTAGCAATCTTCCTCGGATCTTTGACACAATCGTGAGCTCTCGAACTGGATTCTTCAGCACCAACAACACCAACCTCAGAGATTGGTTGACTTGAGTCAACCATGGCATCACCGTCCGGCATGTGAGGCTGAGTAAATGCTTCTTCTTCTTTGTTTGTTCGGTCACTTTATATCAACATAACATGTCAAGACAGGACAGGACAAGAGAAGACAAGTCAGGTGAATAACTCACAAGCTAAACAGTGAGAATACAGAAGGGTTATTGGTGAAGTGTCAAGTGTGTTTGGAATTAGAAGGCAACGAGATAAAAGAAAGCTTGGGGAGAAAGGATTCGTGTGCGTATGTGTGATGCAAACGTGGGACCCTAAGTTTGGAGACACTGCTGTTGTCATTGATATTTGGTCGTGTGTCAGATGCTAAGTTGCTGAGTAGATACAATAGTGAAGTAGACTTGGACTCAGAGTCAATTCTTGTTTTTTCTTTTTCTTTTTTAATTTTTAATATGTTCAAAGATTAAGTAAATTTTATGATACCCAAAAAAAAAAAAAAAAAAAATATGGATATAGTTATAGATCATTCAATCGAATAATAGCTGACAAACATTTTTCACTAATTTTCTCTCACTAATACGACGTTTTAACTCACATTGGGTTCTATCTGACCAAATACGAGTTATCATGTCACGTTTGTGAGAAATGTTCCCATTCCCCATCCCGATTGACGTGACAAATGTTACCTCATTTGCCATTTCAAGTTCACGCTACGTCAATAATCGAGTTTTGTAAAGGTTGAAAAATCCCAAACTCAAATTTGCATCCCAAATTTTATTTCTTGTAAATTTGCAAACCCTAAAATTTTTCCCCAAATCAATTCCAATCCCAAAAACCCTAGCCACCACATTCTACAATTTCAGCTAGACTCCACGCCCGCACCACCACACATCGCCGCCATCCAATCCTTTACCAACTCTATCTGTCACAGCAACTGCCACATCAATCATGATAGGAAGTTAATGGAGTTATAATGGTAGGACCAACTAATTTTATTACTATAAGGAGGCTATAACTTAATGAAAATGTAGGTATAAAAATTATAGTTTTGATTTCTTATTTTTTAATTAATGTTTTAGTAGTACAGTATTAGAATGTCAATTCATATTTTAATAATATTAGAATTTCAATTCAGCGCTTCAATTGCCTACTTTTGAAATAAATAGAAGATCATATCTTTGAACCAGCAAAGATAAATGTCATTCATAGAACTATAAATGCAATTGATGCATGGTCAGTTAATGTGAAATCACAGATAATTGCCAATGGTTTTAAGCATTGCAAAATTATGGCCTCTGATTTCGATGAATTATAAGTTACAAATGAAATGGACGAGGAAAATAAAAGAGTCATTGCAAAATTGAATGCTGAGCTTCGACAACTTCACTACATTAATCGAATTGATATTAGCGTCTTCCTCGATCATCCAAATGAACAACAAATTGTGTATGCTTTAACCGAAGAAATCATTGCTACAATTAAACAAGAAGATAAAGTAAATAGTCATAAGGATGATAATACGAAAATACAAAAAGTTTCGTGCCATGAAACTCTAAACATGCTTGAGAAGCTAAAAATATTTTGGCTTCAATAAGAAGGTGTCCATGCTAACAAATTATTACATACTAATAAGGTAAAAGATGTGGTAACAACTCTAAAATATAAATCATTGTCTCAAACAACTTTAAATAAATATTTTATTTCATTTTAAACCCTTAATGTAATATAACATATATATTTTTGGTAATATACAAATAATTATTACTATGTAAAGACTACTTTCCTTAAGACGGAAATTAGAAAAATTATAACTTATTACAATGTAGAGTTTATTCTTATTTATAATTATCTTAAATTGTGATTATAATTTTTTATGACTATATAGAGTTTATTTCTATATAGAGTGTTATTATAAATANGGCATCACCGTCCGGCATGTGAGGCTGAGTAAATGCTTCTTCTTCTTTGTTTGTTCGGTCACTTTATATCAACATAACATGTCAAGACAGGGCAGGACAAGAGAAGACAAGTCAGGTGAATAACTCACAAGCTAAACAGTGAGAATACAGAAGGGTTATTGGTGAAGTGTGTTTGGAATTAAAAGGCAACGAGATAAAAGAAAGCTTGGGGAGAAAGGATTCGTGTGCGTATGTGTGATGCAAACGTGGGACCCTAAGTTCGGAGACACTGCTGTTGTCATTGATTTTTGGTCGTGTGTCAGATGCTAAGTTGCTAACTAGATACTATAGTGAAGTAGACTTGGACTCAGAGTCAATTCTTGTTTTTTCTTTTTTAATTTTTAATATGCTCTAAATTTTATGATAAAAAAAAAATATATATATATATGGATATGATATAGTTATAGAAGATTCAATCCACTAACACTTTTCGATAATTTTCTCTTAATGTGTCAACTCACGATAGATTCTATCTTATCAAATACGAATTATCACGTTATATTTGCGAGAAATATTTGACAATTTATGAGAAATATTTATGAATCTATTTTTATCCTAATCAAAACTATTTAATCTTTTTATATATAATGCTCCATTTATCGACTCAATCTCATTTGCCACGTCAAGTTCACGCTGCGTCAATAATCGAGTTTTGTAAAGGTTGAAAACCCTAGAATTTTTCCCCAAATCAATTCCAATCTCAAAAACCCTAGCCACCACATTCTACAATTTCAGCTGCACTCCACGCCCGCACCACCCCACATCGCTTGCCATCCAATCCTTTACCAACTCTGTCCGTCACATCAACTACCACATCAATCACCCAATCCTTTACCAACTCTATCTATCACATCAAGTACCACAATCAGGATAAAAAGTTAACCAAATTATAATAATAAAACCAACTAATTTTATTATTATAAACAGGTTATAATTTAATAAAAGTATATGTATAAAAATTATAATTATAATTATAATTTCTTATTTTTTAATTAATGTTTTAGTAATACAGTATTAGAATGTCAATTCATATTTTAATAATATTAGAATTTCAATTCAGCGTTTTAATTGTCTACTTTTGAAATGAATAGAAGATCATGTCTTTGAATCAGCAAAGATAAGTGTCATTGATAGAACTATAAATGCAATTGATGTATGGTCAGTTAACGTGAAACCACAGATAGTTACCAATGGTTTTAAGCATTGCAAAATTATGGCCCCTGATTTCGAAGAATTATAAGTTACAAATGAAATGGACGAGGAAAATAAAAGAGTCATTGCAAAATTGAATGATGAGATTCGACAACTTCACTACATTAATCGAATTGATATTAGTGTCTTTCTCGACTATCCAAATGAGCAACAAATCGTGTATGCTTTAACTGAAAAAATCCTTGATACAATTAAACAAGAAGATAAAGTAAATAGTCATAAGGATGATAATACGGAAATACAAAAAGTTTCGTGCCATGAAACTCTAAACATGCTTGAGAAGCTAAAAATATTTTGGCTTCAACAAGAAGATGTCTATGCTAACAAATTATTACATACTAATAAGGTAAAAATGTGATAACAACTCTAAAATATAAATCATTGTCTCAAACAACTTTAAATAAACATTTTATTTCATTTTAAATCCTTAATGTAATATAACATATATTTTTTTGGTAATATACAAATAATTATTATTATGTGAAGACTACTTTCCTTAAGACGGGAATTAGAAAAATTATAATTTATTATAATGTAGAGTTTATTCTTATTCATAATTATCTTAAATTATGATTATAATTTTTTATGACTATATAGAGTTTATTTCTATATAAAGTATTATTATAAATACGCTTTACTATATATATATATATATGGAAATATTAGAAAATAGTGTTATATATAAAAGGAAATATTAGAAAATGGTGTATTAACGAAAGGGTAATAATAAAATAAGGAAAGTGGTCTTTTTTAAAGAATAAATTAGGATAAATTTAAAATAATTTTTTTTTTTTTTAAATTGTCTTTTTATTGAGAAAGGGTTTGAAAGATTCCCATACCAAAGAACTGTTGGGCCTGATAGGCTTGGCTCCAGTAATCAAACGGGTCAAGTAATTTTGGCCCTTAAATGGCTGAGCCCATTTCAGGCCCAACTCCCTTTTTGATCATTTACCATCCACTAAAAAATAAACAAAATCAAAGAAAAACAATGCTGCCTGTAAAGGCTTTTTTCGATGAGACAAAACGTATCATTATCTACAAGTAATGATACGGTAAATGGTGAAAAATATCTTTATAAAAATTCGGATACGAGAAAAATATGGAAATAATTTGTGAATAAAATGTCTGAGGTATATAGTTTGCAAATAATATGACTGGGTTGATAAAATAAGGAGATTCGTGAATGATACGCGAATCATACGGTCGAGCATATAATTATCGTTTTATTCGTGAATTTACTAACTAGGATAATATGTAATAATCCAGACTCGTAAGGCCTCGAGTGATGAGCTCAAAATCAATGAAACGATGGTGAGATATTATAATTTAACTATATTGAACGACCCTTTATCAAAGTCATTAGGTCCAAAGCAGAAAATATCATTCTATATTAGGGCGGGTCGTTACATAAGTTTTAGGGTTCTATTCATGAAAGCAATGTAGTTGCAACTTTGAAACTTAATGAACCAAACAATGATAAAAACTTTTTCTTACATATTTTTCATGAAACCAATGATAAAATATAAGTTCAATATCCTCTATTCACCTTCTCCTGTGAGGTTTAGAGAAATACGATCACCATCTATTATTCTTGCTTCTTTACTAGGGTTCGGATTGTCTCTTACCCACCTCAAATAGTGAAAACTAGAGCACGTCCCTATTAACTAAAATCTAGAAATAGGTAAGGAATATTACAATACGCTTATTTTGGATTAAATATTGTCTATTCTGGATCAATTTGGGAGAAACCTTGCAAGAAACAAATAATGTGGCACTAAAACACATCAAAATCTTATACCATTACATATATAGAAAGCTAAAAACCTTTTGACAGAATAAAGTTACACCAGTTAATCTTCAGTATAATACCATACTTAAAGAATTAAGACACAAACTTAATATATAACTTAAAACTAAATATAACAATGCCACTCTTATATTATATATGGTATCTACTTGTTATATATATATATATATATATATATATATATATATCTGTATTGATGTTCTTTGATCTGGTCATGTATATGAAGCTGCTGCAATGAAGCCTCATTTGTTCTTGCTTCATAGTTCTGCAGTTTTGCTTGGTGGCGACAGGCGCAACAGAAACTTCAAGGCGTCGTCCATGGAAGGGCGATCACAGGGAGTAGTTCTAGTGCAAAGAAGTGCAACATCAAGAACCAATTTGATCTCCTCTTGCAATGAACTGCTTAAACCAACTTCATTGTCACTGCATATTTCTCTCAAAAGGCCATCTCTTGGCTTGCTTTGAATGCTGGTTCCAGCATTTGTAAGCCTACCGTTTGATAAGATTTCAAGAATGATCTCTCCGAAGCCATAGATGTCCATGTACAGTTCCTCCTTGATGGCATTGTTGAATTCACCTGCATAAATGTCCATTAATAGCTTATAAATTTTGCATAAAAAGGATGGAGCCAAAAGGTATACTACATATGTAATGGTAAACTCTACCTGATTCTCTCCTGGAAACTGTTGCTGGAATCGAACCGTTCGCCAGTTGTGTAAGATGTTTGAAGCCAAATTCAGCTAGATGGGGTTCCATATTTTCGTCGAAAACTATGTTACTTGACTTGAGATCTCCATGAGGAATAGCAGGATAACAATCATGGTGAAGGAAGCATAGTCCTCTAGCAATTCCCATCACAATTCTGTACTTGGTCGACCAATCCTTTTTCAGTCTGATCTTTTCAGACAAATTTCCATTAGGCAAGTAGTCATACAGCAGATAAGCTTGATGATTGTTGTGGCAAAAACCAAGCAATCTAATCAGATTCTTGTGCCTCGCATTCCCCAACCGCATTATAAATTCTTCCATAACCTTCATTCCCTTTGCTCCCCATTTGATTGTTTTCACTGAAACTGTGATCCCTGTTGGCAGAACTACCTTGCAAATGGAACCAGATTGTGGAGGCTGCATTGCTTCCTCTGCACCAGTAGAATTGAAGCTCTTCAAGACATCGGTTGCTTTGAACCGTGGAAGTCCAAGAAATGAGACCATTTTCCACTGGCCTTTGCTTCCTCTCCTGAACCAAAATACCCCAAAAAGTGCTGCTGCAATGAACATGACAACCCCTATACACAGTAGCAGCACAAGTGTGAGCTTTCCAGAGCCTTTGCTTCCGAATATAGAAGCAGCACATGATTGTAAAGGAGCTCCACATAGCTTTGGATTTCCAACATATGCACTACTACCCATCAATTTCAATGCCTTTCCTGAGGGAATGGAGCCAGATATGTCATTGAAAGATACATTTAGGAGAACCAAGCTTGAACAATTGCCAAAATTTCGCGGTATTGGACCACTGAAATTGTTATGTGACAAGTCTAGGACACCTAAATCAGGAATATTTGCCAGCCCTTCAGGTATAGCACCAGTCAACTTATTGTTAGCTAAATCAATTCTCTCAAGTGCCTGGCAATTCGAAATACTTCCAGGGATAGTTCCTGATAATTTGTTCATTTGCAATTCAATGACCGTAAGGGCTTTGCAGGACTTGAATGGAGGAAGAGTGCCTGTAATGTTACAGGCTGATGCTGAAACATTTTGCAGCTGTGGCAGAGACCAAGTTTTAGGTGGGATCATGCCTCCTAGCTCTGGATTATTGGAGACATTGAAGTACTCAAGCTTTGAAGCTTGAGATATATCAGTGGGAAACCCACCAGTGAACTTGTTCCTAGACAAGTCTATGTAAGAAATATCAGGAAAGTGGCTGAATTTCAAAGGGATTTCACCTGAGAATGAATTGTCTTCAAGCCTAAGTCTGACAAGAGAGGAACAATTGGAGAGAGATGGTGAAAGACTGCCAGTGAAGTTATTTGAAAACAGGATCAACTTGAACAACACACCTCCAGAACAAATATCAGGTGGAATGCTACCAACAAAATTGTTAGTAGAAACATCAACCCATCTAAGCTTTGAGTTTCTGCCAAGATTCTCAGGAAGTGACCCTGAGAAAAAATTGTTCCATATAAATAGAATTTCAAGGGCAGGAAGTTGTGCTAAGCCCTCAGGTACAGTGCCACTCATTTGATTGTACATAAGACTCAACAAACTCAGGTTCTTCAACTCTACAAAGCTCTCAGGAATAGGCCCAGAAAGCTGGTTATCAGAAAGATCCAAGCTAGAGAGAGCCTTCATGTTGCTAAACTCCCATGGAATCTTCCCAGTCAAGTGGTTTTTAAACAGAAAAAGTGACTCAAGTTTGGTGAGATTGGAGAGTTGTTTTGGTATTGAGCCAGAGAGATTTGCTCCAGCAATATCAAGATACTGAATCTCACTCATGTTACCCAATTGCCAAGGGATGCTTCCCTGGTAAGAGTTGTAACCAATCTCCATGTGAGTCACAGTCTTGAGATTTCCAAGCTCTGGAGGAATTTTACCATTGAGAAAGTTTCCAGCTAGATGAATAAACTCCAGGCTCTTGAAGGTACCATACTGGAATGGGATTGGTCCACTGAAGTAACTCCCAGCTAAATTCAGAACCTCGAGATTCTGAAGCTGAGAAGCTTCAACAGGTAAAGGACCTGAAAAGCTGTTACTAAAGGCATCAAGAACAACCAGGTTTTGAAGACTGTGCAGCCCTCCGGGAAAGTGACCAGAAAAATTGTTTCTACTGATATCCAAGCTTCTCAAATTAGAAAGATTGAATATTTCAACAGGAAATTGACCAGAGAAAGAGTTTTGACTGAGATTAAGATCAAGAAGTTCATTGAAAACCCTGAAGTATTTCCCTGGTAGCTCACCGGCAAGCCCTTTTGTAGACAGGTTTAAACCAACAACAATGGAGTTGTTCTTGTTGCATTTAACTCCAGACCATGAACAAGCATAGATTTTCCCAGGTGGGTTCTCTCCAGAAGGCACAAACCAATCACCCAGACTGTTGAAATCATCAATGACGTGAGATTTTAAACCAACAAGTGCTTGAGAATAAGGATCATTTGCAAAGACTAACGAAATGAACATGGAGGAGAAAACAAAAATCAAGTACAAGCAATGAAAAATCTCCATTGGAAATACCAACTCACTCACAAACTCACAAAATATTGCAGAAAAATGTTTTTGCTTTCAGGAAATAAAGAAAATAAAAATGTGGTTTTTGTGTTTTCATGTTTTTTTTGTTGGATGAATGATGCATGGGAACTAGAGAAAGTGAATAGATGAATTCAGAATATTATTGGGGTGCTTTTGGGGGCAAGAGGGGACCCCGGAGGGATTAATTTAAATTGTGTTGGCCATTAAGGAATTAAAACTTTTTATTTATCCTGATCACAATCAGAGAAAGGCATCTTTATCTTCTCTTTCACTGGAGAGAATCCTATAAGCTATGCTATTTTTGAGCATATATCCATTTTATAGATATGTTTATGAGGTTCCTCGCCCAACTTTTTCTACCAAAATTTGCATAATTATTAAGCTAGACAGTATCTCTTACTGATATTGATGTCATCTGCATCTTTAGATGATATTGATCAACAGCTTAACCATATCATTTAACGTTAAAAGACAAAATTTCAAACTCAAGATTTATCATCGAAAACTGTTCTATATAGTTTTGATATAAATAAATAGTTTATAAACTGTAAAAAGAGGAAGATTTTGTATACTTAAAAGGTGATTAGGCATCATGAAAGCTGCTCACAACTTTATCTTTCATTGATGGATAATGATTGTGTAATGTGTTAACTGTTTTAATAAGCCTGTAGGTAGGTAAGAATCATGGACCAAATTTCATAGTACAGGCAAAACTGATTAATTGTGATATGGGTTCATTATATTTTATATGAAGCCATCATTAATATTCTTGTGTTTAAAAATAAGAATTCTTAATCTAAAGAATATAAGAGAGTCTTAACCTAAAACCATAAATTAGAATTCGGTGAACTTACGTGCATCTTGACAAATCTTCAGGGTTGACTAACATAACAACTTGTGTCCAGGTTATTTTATGCGCATCTCGACCAATTTTTGTAGGAGATTAGCACATCAACCCATTGCTAAAAATCACGGATACTCAAATGGGTATTGACTATCCTCAGGGGAGAATAGCACAACAACCAACTGTCATAGTCTTTCACTTAAATCACGGATGCTCATATGTGGTATCTAATCTGAGTCTTTTTATCTATTCACTCTATCTTCAATTTGTTCTAACCATCTGTTTTATTCAATGATGTGTGATACTGATCACTAATTAATACTGATAAACGAAGTTTATATTGTAAAAATATACGAATGTTCGTACCTGAGACAACCTGTTATTTTTTTAAAAAGTGTTTATAACATGCAAAAGGAAGAAGAGGGCGTTAGTTAGGAGTTAGATATTGGGGTTTTGACCAAACAAAGAAAATTAGGTTAGCCTTGCATAAATCGATTTAAAGTAAAAGTCTAGTAAAAAAGACAGCAGTAAATCTTATTTAAAATCTTTAGATTTTTTTCCTAGTGATGAAGTGACAATTGCATGAGCATGGAAGCTAAAGGGTAAAAGACAATGGTTTTGATAAAAGCAATCCCCTTTTTCTCTCTGATTTATGATGAATCTTACCCTTTTCCTTTTGTGTTCTTGAAGAATAGAAAATGGCTACTTGCAGCCCATCCCCTTTGTGGTCCAAATCTCATACATTCCAATAATTGTCGTGTAAGGGTTTTGTTAAGTCGTAAGGATAACGTTATTCTGTTTAAGCTTTTCTAGCTTTCAGATTATGATTCATATTTAGCCTTTTAATCATGACCCAAGAGATAAAAATGGGACAATTTTGATAATTCACCGAGTCACATTCCCTCTTTTAAGCTTTTTAAGCCATCATATTATAGTTTAGTAACCCTTTCGTTCATGACCTAAAGGCTAAAAACAAGAAACGAGATAACAAAATAATTTTTAAGCTTCTTAGAATTATAATATTTGATCCTATATTGTTATCAAACCAAATATAACTCTTGAATCCAAAATCTCATATACATCAAAGTTAAGTTAATGACAAGATTCATATAAAATAAATTCTTGAGGTCTGGGGCGGATACAGCCTAGTCATGGCCCACCCTCAATTTTTTTTTTAACTATTAATATGTATAATTTATAGATTTTAGCCCACTCTAACAAAAATATTAATATATAATTAGTTTTTATTTTGATCCACCTTAACAGAAATTTCTGGATCCGCTACTACTTTAGGTGGCTACAATGAAACAAAATCCGAATAGTTTTTATCTTCAAAGACAAAGAGGGTTTGAAGTTGTGATGATGAAAATTTAATTGCAATGGACATAAAAAACTTGTCTTTTGTTCTTATTACTTTGAAACAAAAATATTTTGTGTTTTTGTGATTTAAATTAGGCTTCATTTATTGGAAACAGTGAAAGGTCTTTAAACTAAATTAAATTTGTTTTGGCATCACAAGAAAACTCCTCTGAAACTCTTCACAGTGAGCAGCCCGTGAAGAAATTGTTTGGTTCAAGCAATCCAAAGGTGTGTTATAATTAGGGTTCCTTCCATTAATGTTGTTTCAGAGAAAAGTTGCTGAGAAAGTTAATTCTGAAATGAACCCTGCTACCTATGTGAACCATTCAAAAGTGTGAAACCTTTTTAGGGATGTACAGGCCCGGTAACGTTACTAAATTCCCTCTTGTAATTAATAAAGATGATCTCAATGTGTGAACGATAAACTAAAACGCACAAGAGTGAACAGTAAATTGAGACGTACTTGATATGTTTTATGATATTTTTCATTATAGGAATTGCATAAGCCCTGTGATTACAATAGAGGTTCTCTTGATAAGTGCTGTAACACCTTTCTAGAGATAGACAAGTCCGACCAAATTCTATCGTGCGATTATTAGAGAGGGTTTCAACGTGTGAACGGTAAACCAAGTGTAAATAGTAAATCGAGACATATTTGACACGTTTCAAATATTTTTCATCACGGTAACAACATAAACCATGTGATTATAATAGACGATAATAAATCGAGAGAAACAAATGTAAACAAGAATCCGAGACATACTCGACATGTTTCGATTCTATTTCACTACAGTAACCGCATGAGTCTTAAATTTAGACAGTATGTGTACCGTTCACATGTTTACTTGAGGTAATGTTACCTTGATACTGTAGTAGAAATTTGAATCTCAAACAGAAGTAATCAAAACTCAGAAAAAGGGGAAGAGGCTAAAACATTAACCGAAAGTTATGATCACAAACAATGGCCTAAAAAAGGTAAAACTTTTACAGTTTCACAGAAATTTCTCAAATACACCTTTGAAAAAGACATGGCACCGACTGTGTGGCCGTGTGTGCTGGGAAAGAACACTTCTTTTTAGGAAAAAATAAAGGAAAAGATTTTTCCACTTCAATTGGATTCCTTCCCATTTCAGTCAAAAGAATTAGGTTTACTTACTCATTAATCCCAATTGATTTGACACCTTTTTATCTATTCACATCTAAAAAGATACAACCATGAATATATCGAATCAGGTTACAGATATATTTTTCCACATAAACTAGCTATATATATTTTTTGATATAGGAGTAATGTTAAGTTCACAACCCAATTTCACAGTCTCTAACGTGACAATTCGTCATTGATCAACTTGCTAAATGGATCTCACCTGCTTGTATGAGTCTCACTTGCCTATTTGTCAACTAACCAATGACGAACTACTACGTTAAGAGTTATAAGAGAAGTTTGTAGACCTAACATTATTGTTGATTTAGAAGTTATAAAATGTCAGACTTATAACATAAAACGAGTTTAATGTTGAAAGCCTATGCTATTTTCGAGGTAGGTTAGACTAAACCCTGTGACCAAACTGGCCATTGCTAAACTTGATTTAGAGATGATTTAGGGATTGAAATGAAGGGTAATTTTGAGTTTATAAAGAGATTAATAAAGAAAGAGGAGTGGGACATTTTGTCAAAGATTTGTTGGGTGCTGAAAAAAATGAGCCAAGAAACAAAAATCAAACAGTTTTCAAACAAGAAATCAATCATTCATAAAGCATATATATATAAACAAATAATAAACGTTAGACAAAGTGGGTGGAGTAAGTGAGTGATTGAAGATCAAAGGGCCACCACTTTCATTTCAAACAACCACTTTCATTTCAAACAACAAAATTGTTTTTGCTTTGGAGATCAAAGACTATGCAACTTGCATGTACACCCCTGTAACAAATGTATGACAAGGATTGTTTTAACCTTGTTAAGGACACGTGCCCTGCGCCGAGTGGGCAGTGATTGGAGTCGCCGACATCTTAAGTGGGAGCTTAAACATCCTAAAACACATTTGTCATGAAATTAATTAGAGAAAAGAGATGCAAGAATGATATGAATGCATGATAGATAAACGGAAGTTCAAAAATGTAATGAATTTGTTTTGAAGATTTCATGAACTCGTTGAACAGATAAGTTCAGAAGCCATTTGGAAAATGCAGAACTCATTTTCCAGAAGTTGTCTTAAAAAATAAGATTTGAAAAGCATGCATATCTCCTTTTTTTTCTTCTCCAGAAACTCTTTCACTCTTTCAAATACTAACCAGACACATTTTCATTGTTCATTATTCTTCAGAAATTAATTTCTAACTAAACTACCAGACGCGTTCTCTCTCTTAGAGAATTCCGACTCTCATTCTATATTAGTAGTTCGTAAAAGGGTTGTTAATGCCATTTACTCCTTTCAATGGAAGGTCCAACTATTTATGATTCAATCTGTATGCGATCTTGAACTTATATTCTTGAGGGATCCATCCAAGAAGAGACACAATAAACTACTTATCAAGGTTGAAATTAAACTGTACAGGAATGCTATTATGTATGTCGATAAAATTTGAAGGTCAAATCTATATACAAGATAAAATGCTACGTTAAACCATGGAAGAATTAGCACAATGAGTGCACTCAAAATAATGGCACTAATGTTTTGAACATGATGATGAAAGAAAAAGAAGTTGACATATAAAATCCTCAAACCTTCAAGGGTACTGCAGAATCAGGCCTCAAGCGATTCAACTGAACTGTCCCAAGAATATACTCGGGTAATTCTGACTCTTCTTTTGCCTGCAAATGTAGTAGCAGTCAACATCAAATTTTGTGCAATGTGCAAGCCCTCAGGGTTACAACTTGAAAGAATCCAAGTCAGTTGGATCAAATTATAAAGTAATTGAAATTTGTCCATAAAATAGGATAAAATAGATATCAGAGAATCAGAAAACAGTAGATAGAAACAAGAACAGATAATGCCATAATATAACTCAGCCATAAAGATCTAGACTGTTTTAATTACTAACACAGAAGCACATACCTCTATTAGAATTGCAAGATCGACTACTAAGCTTGTTACATATCCAAGGACAAGGCCAATCACACTTCTTGCTACAGAAGATGATCCAATATCTACATCAATCTGCATAATAGAAGTTTTGGAGATAGTTCATTAAAAATACAGTAGCAAGCAGAACTACTAAAAGTTCGGTACCAATTTAACATATTCTATCTTGAAAAACTCCTGCTTTAAAACCAAGCACAAAATATGCACATAGAAATACTTATACCGCACCAAGAGAGAAGAAAAAGAAAAAAAATGAGAATGCTACACATAAAGGAGACTTAAGATTAGGGTCAAGGTAGAACAGAAACATTCCAAGTTTCAGATAAACATATATAAACGTAAACAATTCAATATTGATGGTCACTTCCAAAGTGATTGTGCTCCAATAAAAATTACAGTATTGACCACTGGCATGGCTAAACAAAGGAAAGGAAAAAAAAAAAAAACAGATAATGGAAGGAAAGGATACCTCCAGAAAATTGTCTTGTCTGAGGTATTTGCACGTTACAGCCTTCCCCAACAGACATGCTTTTGTCCCAACTGCACGTTTGACCATCCAATACCCCTGAAACAATTATAAAATTCACTACTCAGCATCCTGAAGGCAAAGCAGATAAAAGTTACGAAATTTTTACTTGATCTTCATGCTTCTTAACCACTTCATACCTCAACAATGCTCGGAATCAGTTTAAACCTTGCATCACGAAACATGTCAGTCCCATCCACGAACTGACCTAACAATGACTTTTTATTTAGAGGCCTTTCTGACGCATAGTAGAGCACCAAACTATAATTTGGTTTTGCTGGAACCTGAAACAGAAAATAAATTATTCCTTGCAAAGCAGCAATGACAATCATAGCACCAGAAATCAAAACTATCATCATAATCAAAATATTAGATAATTACAAATCATCGAGTATGTACCTGGAGATTAATGACTAAGATAAATGGAAGCTTTTTCCCTGCTTCTGACTGAAATTGAGGAAAAAGCAGTTAAGATTATAGAAGGATAATTAATTTCCAAAAAAATTTTGACCAGAAAACTCAAACATTTTTAGATGCTTTCCAAGTCTAAATGAAATGCCTATTGTCTCAAATTTTAGACATTCTTCCCATTATTTTTCTAGAAGCTAGCATGAAAACAAAAGTTTCTTTATGCATCAAAGACATTGCATAAGAAAATTAAAATAAACTGTAAAAAGTAACATTGATTGTAGAGACAAAAATGTGAATGTACTCCAATCATCAAATGTCACTGATCAGGCAATTCTCAACAATTGCAATTGGTAACTGAGTGAGGTACAGGTTCAACTCTTCCAACTACAAAAGGATCATTACAAGAGAAAGATCCTTTTTCATCCCTTAAACAATTTTCAAATTTGAGAATGGTAACAAAGAAGTCAGGACAGTATAACCCAAAAGTACGAATGCATTTTGTTGATTAGAAGCAGAAACAGGTTCCATTAATGATATAAAAATGTAAGCCACAAATAAAGGTCAACCAGCAGTCACCGACAGAAACTGGACTGTATATTTCTAACAAAGCAGAAATTACAGAAAGATATGTTGTGGGTGATTCCAAACTCCGGTGTCTCTACATTTAACCTTTGCCCATAAGATAGAAAAAAATAAGGCGGAAATGAGAATCAAATTTCTACCTGAACTAGACACTTGGGATGCAATGCAACCCTATCGGCTGTTTTTTCAACTTTGAACCATTCAACTGCAATGAGTTTGAGCAAGGGATCTCCACCCATTACCTGAAAGAAAAAAACATATATATATATTCACTAATCAACAATTCAACATTCTGCAGAATTAATGTGAATATGATATGTATTAGAAGGAAAGGAAAACCACCTTGGAATTATCTTTTAGGTAAGTCTTTCCTCGGATCATAAAACCCTTGCCACTAGGAGAAGCCCAACAATTAGAGTCAGTCCCATCCTCTCCTTTTTGCAGGGAACCATGGAACTGGCTAGGATCAATGACGACAGGAGGTATAGTACAATCTAATTCCTTATTTGCATCTGAAACTGCATTAACCGTGTCTAAATATTTCAGTACTAAGTATTTAACAGCCAAAGGAGGAGGAAAAAAAGATAAAGTGATCAACTTTAAGCTTTTTGTAGTGAAGCAGCGGGAAAATAAGTACGGAAATTTTTGTTATAAATGGACATTTGCTTAATTATACAAAAAAGGATGACTCAGCAGTTTCATGAGTGGGACGATAAAAGTTTTTTAACACAATTATGAACTGTCCAAGAGTACTATATTTTGTCATGTCTCGCCTAGAAACAGGTGGTAGAATATAATCTACAATATTCAGCTTTCAAGTAAATAGAACACCAAACTACCAATGTAAAACAAATAGAATCTCTAAGACTTCTGACAATAAAAAATAAACCATTGCATTATTGGCTAATAAACATTCCCAAAGACAAGTTTTAAGCAAAGAGAGGACCTGAAGTTCGCTTCAAAGCTAAGCCTGTCATGGCCCACACGACATTCTTTAGCTTCACTTTCTTGTCCTGAACAAGATGAAAGACTAATATCAATTCTACACCTTTTCAACAGCATGGATTGAAACAAACAACTTAAATTCTATGATAGAGTTACAACATTTTGTTGTCCATTTTCAGAAACTTTTAGACAGCGCAAACAGAGTGGAAAAAACAAAACCTTCTTATCAACTTCATTGCCATCATTACTGTCTTCATCACCATCATCACTCTCTTCATCTTCTGAGGATGATGAGTCAGAAGCAATTGCATCATAAAACTGCTCCTGCATGTCTTCTTCATCCTCATAATCGCCGATGGAAGATGAGGCATCCGAAAACTTTGATTGAATAACCACAGTTGAAGATCCACTTTTGGGATTTGGATTTGCTCCAATATATTCCTTTAGACCTGAATAATGATTAACTGGAAAAGTAACTGGCACTGCAATAAAAAAATCTAAGCAATCTCTACAACACAACATCATTGGTTTCACATTCACTTTGCTTGAACAAAATGGTGATGTTCCTTAGAACCCTGAAGGCAATTGTCTAATCTGATCAAAACTCTATAGGTGTCGCAATCTGGAAAACTCACTTTTCCCAATGCGGATCATAGACCTTGTTAGTTGAGTTAACATATACACGTGACGGTATTAGAGCTATTAAAACATTTAGATGATAGATTAGAAAAGAAATTAATTGACTAACCTGCCACTTGGCTTAATAATGCAAAAGGGGTAGTCTTTTCAAAGTTTGTGCCGGTATTTGTCTTCCATTTACACCAGCCTTTTGACTGTATCTCTAACATTTGTGTCACAAGACACTTTGCACCATTTGAACCCATTGGCGTATTTAAACTTCTAATCTCCCAAGTGGATGCTACAATTCATAAATTGAACAAAGAAAATAAATTCAGTTAATGAAGATTCACTTGTTTTATACATAGTATCTAATATCAAAAGTAGAGACACAAATTTGGTCACTGGAAGATATGTGAAACTAAAAAATATTTAGTTATACAATCAGCAATGACCAGTGGAAACTCACATCATAAATTCCATGTCACCAATGTACATAAATAAGAACCTAACAAGGTAGGTGAAATAATCTGTACCAAAGATTTGGAACATATAACTGGTACGGTAAATAAGTCTACTTTTCAGCATCCAGTAATGTGCATATAAATTTTAAAAGAACCAAATTTATAAAAGCAGAAACTATTGTCTGAAAGCAAGAATTTGAAGTCCAGTGAAAACAGATAACATGAGTTCCACATGCTTAATGCATAAGGCGTCCCATTAACTCTATTCTAGTCAGAAATAGTAATATGCAATATTGAATAGCAGCCAACTAACATGCAAAAGACAACAAGAAAGACAAACATATCCGCCAAGCCATATAAAACAAAAAATGATTTAGATATTCCACAAGTTCTCCAATTTTAGAAAATAAAATCACTTACGATTAATTTTTGTACGTCGGTATCCAGATTTTGGAGGCTTCTTCTTGTTTGTGACAGGAAATTGCAAAATTGCTGAATAAATAAAATTATGTCAGTGCCAAGTACAAAGGGAAGCAGTATCTTGAACTTCTTTTTTTGAACTACATAAAGCAACGACAAACTTTGCAGACTTTGGCTTTATAAATGCATAACATCTCAATTAATAATTATATGAAGCAACTCTAGTCAGCTAAACATGGCAATTATAACTCTTACTGTATGTTCCATCTTGACAACGAAACCATTGCCTAGAGAAGACAAAATCTCTCTTGGAATGCCACCTGCAAAACACATAATACAACAAAAATCATGTATGCACCAAATAGAGGAGGAAGAGAATTTTATGGTATAAACAACGATACATTTGGACCTATAATTTAACAAAAATCATGTATGAGAACAAAATAGAGGAGGAAGAGAATTTTATGGTATAAACAATGATACATTTGGACCCATAAATTAACTAAGTAGATATGGACTTCTAAATTTGTGAATACTAAATTAACCTAATCTAAAGCTCTTACCCTTGGCTAACCTTGAGGGTTGAGTTAAGTGGTAAAGGCCTTTGGTTTCAAAGAAAAGAGGTCAAGAATTCAACTACCCCAGGTGCCACCTAATTGGGCTGGATATGATATATCACAAATTTCCACACTATCAAGGTTTAGGTTTCAGAAATAGCCCCAAGATAAGTGAAGAACTACAACTAGTCAGCCCAAACAAAAGGAAGAGATGAAGAAGAAACGATAAGGAAAAAAAAACCTATAATTTTCTCCAAGAATATTACCGAGTTAGGTACTTTGGGTCAAACATGCCATACACAACATCGTAGTGTCCATTATAAGAATCTATCAGCTCCAAGTCACCTGTCAACATATCCCACCTGAAAAGATAACTTTTAGAGAGATGAAGTGGTATAACCACAGAAAATAACTCCGTAACACAAATCAAGAAACTTACTCGTATCTTTGGTGTCGATCAAGGTTTAAGACCACCTCAAAAACAGTATCTGCATCTGCATCAATAACACCTACGGCTTTCACAAGAGCACCTTTACCACTCTACAATAAGAAAAAGCAGACAGTGGAGAACCTGAGGCATTTATCAAGTTGATAAAAACTGTACAATTTCAATTCCACAGAGAGATGGAACCATATTGTAAAATACAAAAGCAAGATGATACGGTATTTTAATAAATACCTTAGTGTCAGAAACATCCTCAAAGATTCTAACACCTGAAACCAAAAAGAAAATGTCTCAAGCAGGAAGGACAATTGAAACTTTTCTCTATTAACACTAAATTCTCCACATCTTTAATTTGGGCATCTATAAACTTATAAAATAATACCAAATGATGAAATTTTTCTTCTTATTTCAAGCACAGAAAGGAACTTTTAACTTGTATTCACCAGCCCATATAACATAAATTTGCAGCTAATAAAATCTACATGCATAGACTAATTTCTTCAGACTCTCTGTTAGAATCTTACAATGCATTCTCAATCTACACCTGAATCTTATGTTTCAACATATGATATTGCCTAAAATTTTGTTCTTTTTTGGAAGGGGTAACTAATCATATATAAGAGTCAGAAAAACTTCCATACAGAAAATGGTTGAGAGAAATATACCATTTATTGTACGAACACATTTCCATTCTTGTGCTTCAATTACATCTCCAATGTCCCCTTCAAAGTACCCATCTGCCCTACCACCCAAATCCGAGGATTGCTGCAAAAGTGTCTCTGGACCTGTCACCATTTCAAGATTGAAAATAATGAAAATGAATTAAATTTCTGCTCAATCCAAGTGAAATGAAAATATGTTAGCTAATATCATAAATACAAACTACCGATGAAAACCTCCAAAGGCATTAAACCTTCTTTTGAGAAAAAAAAGGTCCATAACAGAGTTATAGACTCCAAAAATTTGAAAACATAATTACAGTGGATCACAACTGGCAGGCCACACATTGACCGGATTCTCACAATGCATTCCAAACAGATTGACAAAAAAGGGCTGCAGAAGTACCAAGTCTAGAATGTTTCATGAAATGCATGATGAGAAGCTATACCGTCATCTAAATAATTAAGTATGAAATGCTGTTACATTCAGTTCAAGAATTAATATGAAATGCAAAGGGAGAGCCCATTCTTTTTAACTTGTGTAATCCAGAAGTGGACCATGTACACTGTGTTGAAACTTACAAGTGCCATGAGTTATATATATACATATATAAGGTCAGGATACTGTAACTTAATTTTTTGACACTCGTGGTGAACCGTTCATCTTTATTGATCAAACAGTGATGAAAGATGATGAGTTAGCATTAAATGTAGCTACCTTGAATCTTTATCTTATCACCTTTGGATAAACAAAGATCAACCACTCACAAGAAATGTAAAAAATTAAGTCAAAAAATTTAATTCATAGTATCCCAACCCGTATATATATACTCATAATACAATGGGGTCCATCTATATTTTAGCAAAACTTTGGGGAAGCCCATTTACCCAAAAAAATCATGAAAAAATCAAAAACAAAAAATGAGCAACACCACCTTACCATGCCCGATTCTTATGAGCTTTTTTAATCCACGAGCATATCTCCTTACTCTAGGTCGATGCCCATCCAAATTGATCCTTCCACAATAAAACAAGAGAAGATCATAATTCAAGTATAACTAATTACATAAGAGACACTTAATATACTCTTCGATTACATTATACAATATTACAGAGATCAAGATCAACACTAAACTGAAATCTCCATCCTTGATTAGGTAAAAATTATATTTTCTTTCATCAAATGAAGCACTAAACATCCCTCAATTAAAGTGATGAGCTCGATAACGTTTGGTGGAGGCTCATTGAGCCAGTAGACTACAGAACAGGGAATTTCTCTCCCCTATCCCATAAATGCCATGTCTTTAGTGTTACTGAGATATGATCCTAGTTCACTTTGTGAGAAACAAGTTAGCTGGTTGGAAACCACAACCAAGTGCTATTCTTTAACTGAAATTTCCACCACAACTTAACTGACATAATTGAAAGATGAAATCTATCCATCCAGGTCATTTGTAAAAATCTCCCCAAATGCAAGATAAACAGCAAATAGTAAACATACTCTTCCTCCGTGTTCAATTTGATTCTGTTGCTGCCCCTTGAAAGCTCCAATTCAGCCTATAAAAATTTATAACATGTCAAACATTAAGCATAATACTTGTAAAAATTGTGTTAACTAATGACGGTGATTCAATTTCATCATAAGTTCCATAGTACATTAAACTCTAAGAAAAGGAAGATGTGGATAGAGATTAAGGATTTAATAGAACGGCAGTCAAACACTATAATGCTGATCTTACAAGAAGATGCAGGCCCAACATAGTATATGACTTCGACAGCATTAAGCACAACAATTTATCTGATTTACTCGTACCTGTTGCTTGGCATGATCAAATGCTTCCATCCATTTCCGAGCTTCTCCAGCTTTGGCACAAGCAATCTTGAAGGGAAAAAAAATTCATTAATTTAAGAGACACTTTGGCAAAAATCGAACATCTGCAAACAGAAAATTGATTTTGAATCTTACAGGGAATCTTTTATGACTGAAGTTTTTTCTTTTTTATAAAATAAAAAAAAAATTAATGGGTGGATTTATATGAAAGGCTATGCTACCATATTCATAAATTTGATTCACTTTTTTTTTTTTTTTTACCAGAAACCTTTAAACGTTTGCTATGATTTAGGTGATAAGAAACATCGTGGAATAGGTGTCACCAAGAATCAAAAAACTAAGAGAGAGAAACAAATCTGTACCATGATTTGTGGTAAATAATCATCCCTCCCTGTCAAAATAGTAAATCAAAAACTTGATTTTATATTGTTCCTCCCCTTTATCAAATTCCAAATTGAAATCTCTCATCATTCTGTATCTTCTTGTGGACTAAATTTGAATTATTCAATGCAATTAGAATATGTTGTTTGAAAAAAAAAAAAAATAAGACCCTGAAAGTGTGGCATATCAAATAAGTTATTTTGGAAACCACCTATTTTCTGTTTAGCATTTACTTCCTTTGGTTGCTTTATAAATATTCAACAATTCAATCTTGAATTATTTCAAAAGTCCTGTTGGGGAGGATAGAACCAGCCTAGGATGTCAACCAACAGTCCAACAGCATATAACTTGTAACAAGATTCTAGGTAAAAACCAACAACCTTCTACAACTTCTAAATTGTTACACACATTGTAAGATATTACATGTCAAAAATTAATAAGATATAGTGTCTATAACTACGTAGTGATAATTGCAAGAGCGAAGTAGAGGAAAGTACAACTTACCTCTCCCTTTTGTGACTCATCCAATCGGTTGTAAAGCCGTATAACATAAACATCCTACAAAGAGATCACAAAAGAAAATTTAAAAATGATCATTTAGCTTCTCAAGCTATTTACTCAAAAGAATAAGATCCAAAATCTACCATGGAAAGGATCAGCTTTATTAGAAGAATGATTTGTCAAAGAAAGACTCAAAAAAGAATTAAAATATGTGACCTGATAAGAAAAACAATTCAATACTGCTTTAATAAAAGTAAATGACATATAAATAATTTCTGGGACTTACCCCATGGTTGACCCTCCGACGCCCTAGCTCCTCCACCATGAATGTAGGCCCTATTGTTCCCCTCCTAATAGGTTTCTGAAAAATAAATTACAGAGGTTGAAATTGTGTTTAAACCAAGATAAATCAACATGTACTAAGCTTTTGTTTACATGAGTCCACACTAAGATGGTATATGTCCATTTTACATAAACAAAATTGCCAAATCCAAAATTACATAGTGTCAAGTAAAACCAAACTGCTCCCCACATGCTTCAGTTTGAAATAACCTGTTAATCAACCTGCAGAATCAAGCTAGACAGCCACATGCTCCAGACTTGGAAAATCTCCAACACTAAAAATCCAAAATCTCCAACACTAGACTTAGCACCCATATTTCACTAATTAAGAGTAACTTTTTTGTAATTTTTTGACAAGCATTGATCTGTTTCCAAACATCCTTGAAGTCTCAATCCTAATTTTTTTTTTTTTTAAAAAAAAAAAGGCTAGGTTAACAGGACTAAAATCCCAGAAATTTTACCGGAATAACATCTATTGGTAATGGTTTACAACCATCATATTAGCAACGAAATATCTGTTTACCACTTACTAATATAATATCACTAATATACAGTTCAGAAGCATCTGGTTAAAGGAATCCGTCCGGTAACACAACATAAAATTACGGTACTGATTATAACATAAAAGCATTAAGAATATAGCATAGATTTGTTTCCTACCAAATATTCATTGGGATCTTATTCCTACACAGAAAAATAAATAAATAACTACTATCCTATTAATAATAAAAAAATATTCTATTACCAGATGGTAAACATTGAATGTTACTAATATGATGTTGCAGGTTACAAATATCATTGTAAAATTACAGAACCAACTATATCTAACCATTAAGATTTTATCTACCTCTCATTGCTATAAAACAAGCAGCAAATCAATCCAGCAATAGAAATGAACAAAACTAAATCTAAAAATCTAAATTTTGGCATCAAACTTTAACATTAAATTTAAACAGAAACGTACAATGCCGGGATTTTCATGAGGATCACGTTTATACATCTCAACGTATTTGCCTCGAATGCAGAGGAACCGAAGATGGCAATATTCATGCCCAATTGAATTCACGCCCAGATGAAAAACCCACCCACAGTACTCAAACAATTTCAGCTGCTTATATCTACCACCACCACCAACGGTGGCTCCTCCTCCACCACCACTACCACCCTCATGGCTGCCAGCACCGCTGCTGGTGTCGGAGCCGGATCCCTGGCTGCCCACCTTCTTTCCCGTCGATGTGGTGTCCATTTCTTGACCACTCTCTTTCTCTCTCTCTCTCTCTCTCTGTGGGTGTGGGGGGTTTTCTGTTAATTGTTATTATTTTCAAATTTTGCAATCACTGGAGAGAGAAAAGGGGAGAGAGTTGTCATCTCCGGGAAGAGAGACTCAGAGAAAGGTACCAGATTTTGTAAGTTTAGGATATTTTTGACACCCCTAATGTTTTGAGCTATACTCGAAACTCCATAAGTTTAAAATAATTTAAAAAAAGTCCCTAAAGTAGGGGCTAATGATTATTATACTTTTACTTTACAAATTATAAGGTTAATAAAATCAAAATAATGGATAGAATGAAATATTTAATCTCAATTTATGGGAGAAATTCCATAGTAAAAATATGAGGTTGTAAATGAAATTTTTCATTGAGGAATCCACCTCCCCCACTCAAGTTGGTCAACTGTCATAACCATCATAATTAAATAGAATTTAATGTTTTAGAAATAACACAAATCCCCCTCCCTATAGTTAATCACTAAACTTTAGATATTAAAAAAAACGACAAGAGGGTAATTAGGTAAATACCCATCATTTTTAACAAGATAGTTTCTAACTATTCACCAACTATAAGAAGATATGTGTAATTTTTGAAACCTAAGAGGGATTATTAATCAATGTCATTACCTCTAATCAATATTTAATGATGTAAATGTCGGTTTCACTTATATTAATGATAGAGAAATAATGTGTTAATTATATTGGTAATATTATTATACTAAATGGGTTGTCATAATGTATATCCTTAGGATACACGTAACATTCTAGCATTTTGATGTATACAAAAGTATGCTTTTTTATTTTTCCTTTTTGTACATAATATGAATTGAAATAAGTAAATATTTTATTTTCTTGTATTCTTAATAAGGGTATAGGTTAAGACTACCCTTAATAGAGAAAGGGTAATAGTGGAAGCTAATTCCTTATTTCTCCAAAACTTAATTTCCTGATTTTATTATAATATAACTTTTGGGGGGCCGTGTTTATTAGTTTCTAAAATCTATGAGAGAATATGTTAAATACTAAAACTTAGGGGGTGTCTAAATTTTCCACAAGTTTTGGGAAGATCATGGCCGTACACGTGGCATTGAAACTAAAAGCGAAAGGGACCAACGGAGTTTTTGACGAATCAAATTTGGAGAATTCACACGTTGGACCGGCTGTTCTGTCTTGTTCTTGATTAGTCGGCAAACACGTTTTTCTTTTTTTAAATATTATTGGCTCCGTTTGCTTAACAATTAATAAAATATCCCTTATGTTTGTTTTTTTATAAAACACCCCTTATAATAAAACATTAAAAATTAATAAAAATACCTCCAATCCACCCTCAAATACGGACAGCCGGCCACCACCGCCAGAGGGTGGCCGGAGTCGCCGTAACAAAAATATTAAAAATATTTAGGGGTATTTAATTGAATTAACAAATTTAGGGGGTTTAAAAAATATTAAATAAAGTTGAATAATATTGTGAGTTTTTTGGTATTTTACTGTTTAACTTTTTTGGGAATACTAAAAGTAGTGTTCCCAAAATCCAACCAAACAAAGCCATTATTATTTTTTTTTAAGTAGAGTGGATTTACAGTATGATTAGGCTTCAAGTAAAAAATAATGTCACTGATTTATGATGTTATCTGGGCTAGCTTGGGTGGATTTAGAGCATGATTAGTGTTTGAGTTGAAAATAACATCACAATTTTATGTTAATTTGGTGAGCTCGGACTAGCTTGCTACACATTAATTAATCTCTATAGATAACTAGCATAATATCCTTTAAAAACTCAATCGTTATAATCATCTACTTAAATCTCGAAAACTGGGGAGATTCAAAATTAAGACTATACACTTTAACCACACATTTTAAAGTTTGTCCTATCACTTTACCCAAGAGTGAGTTAGTTTTATGTTATCGTTTTATGATTATTCAATAATGTTAGTCATTAAATAAGAGATTTCGTATAAAGAAATTGTATTTGGATACTTAAAACACAAAGTTGAGTTTATTGTCTCAAAATCTTTACTTAATGTAGGATGTGTATGGTGTAATGAAGTGATCTATTAACCTGCTAATAAAACGTTTAATGGTAGCTTCAATGCTCCATCTATCACTTAATTGAGAAAGACTAGAGACTCACACGTTTTGCTTAAGTAACAACTTATTTATTTGAGTACGATTCGTCAATGTGTTTGAGTCAGTATTCATAAAGACAATCTTACACTTGTAATCAAATTTCACAAACTTTTTCTCACAACCTTGACGTAACAGTTCGCAATAGGTCTTGTCTACTTAAGTATGAATTGATCTATGCGAGTTGTCACGTTAAGATTGTAAAAAAAGGTTTATAAGATTAGATTGTGAATCAATCTTTATGGCTCCGTTTGATTCATTATTCTGATAGTTTTTAGAATAATCTTTTGAAAAAAATTAAATTGGGCGGATATTATGATGAAGGATTTAAAAATTATCAAAAATATCCCCTATATTTGTTTATTTACTAAACATCCCTATAATAAAATATTAAAAGTTAATAAAAACACCCCCAACCCACCCAGTAAATACGGATAGCCGACCACCACCGTCGAAGGGTGGCCAGAGTGTTTGTGCAGTTTCTAAAAAAAATATTTGGGGGTGTTTAGTTAAATTAACAAATTTAGGAGATTTAAAAGAAATTAAAAAATATAGAATAATATTTTTAAAATAATGATATTTTACTGTTTAACTGTTTTGGGAATACTAATAATAGTATTCCCAAAAACGAACCAAACGAAGCCTATTATACTCGGAAAGCTATTTATGATGGTTATGAATCAATTCAAAGAGCCCATGAACTTACAAATTTGACCTCAAAACCGCCAATATACAAATCAAAACATTTTGATGCAAGTCATTCAACCTTATAATAAATATTATTCAATTCATATTCTATTGTCATTTTCCAACTAATGTCCATACGTGTGTAAAAGGCCAAAACTTTTGTTACAGTCAGAAGATAAGTGTAAATAAATAAATAAATAAGATTCCTTGCATTTAAAGTAATTGGAATTATTGGCTCTTTAGATTGATAGACATGAACATGATGTCCAAGTGGAAAGGTCAATTTCGTGAGCCCACCATGAGTAATGGCTTTGTGAACAAATCCCCACTTGAAATTGACATCTTTCTAAGTATACTTTTCCATGGCCATTTGCTTCAACTTTATCTCCAATTTTTCATTTTTGGTTTTAAATTATAAATAGGGGAGTGTTAACATTGTTTTAAAAGCCGGACCAAAGGATAATCCGTTTTGATCTTTGGGTCACGGGTCAATCAATCCAATCGATTGAACCGATGATATCAGTGATAATTTTATTTTTTTTAAATTACTACTATCCTTCAAATTTTAATATAATACAAAAAAATGCCAAAAAAGTTCAATTAGACCCTAAAATTTTTATTTATTTCAAAAATACCCCCAAAAAATTACCCATTAATCCCTAAACTTTTGACATATCTCCAAAACACCCTTATAAAATTATATTAACCCTTATAATTTTGAAATATTACAACAATTCCCCTAAGACCTGAACCAGACCGAAGAAGCTGCCAGATCCCACCGGTCCAACTGGCCGGTCCAGTCCAGTTTTTAAAACGGAGAGTGTTAGATGCAATCTCAGGTATGTCAGTCAATAACTTCGCTTTATACACGTATCATGAGGAGAGCTAATGCTGTCACAGGCAAGACTGCAGCTAGCGCTTCTCTTATTAATAACTTCTTTTTCTAGGCACAGTCAATAACTTAACATGAAGGACTTCTTTTGCCTAATAAAACATTCAAGGGTGGAAAGATTCATCCTAGCTATCAACACAAGTTATCTCTCATGTGCACCATTAGATTAATCATAAATCAATATGAAAGACTGATCTAATAATAGCCCTCGTATGTACCATTTGATCAACCATGGAATTCATACGAGAGACTGATCTCATAGCTCTCGGATATACCATTAGATTGACCATGGATTTTATACGAGCGACTGATCCAATAGTACATACTACATGCAAAGAGAAATGTAAATAACATAACTATTTCCATTTATCGATTTCAACTGAGCACACCAAGAGAAAGATTGTCTGAAAGTTCAACGAAATGTCACAAACACAAACAATTCAGTAGAAAGATGAAATATTTGGACAGGAATACCCATGTTACTGGCCTGGTAACAATAATGTGTCAGTTTTTTCATTGTTAGATTGTGTTCAAGGGGACCATGGTCGAGCCCTTTGCCACAATCTAGGGGTGAAAAATGAAAACTGGCCTGGTATGTTACAGGGCCAGTAACAAATGTTGAACCTATTGAGACATACTACATCTCTAATTACACAATCATTATTCATTGGTCATACAACTTGATTTGATTTGCCCTATCACCATATATAATTGTACCACCAGGTACCCAAATTTCTTTCTATTATTAGGAAATTTTCTCCTCTCATTCTCAAATGTCTACAATCAAGTGAATCCATAACATGGAAGTCCCAGAAAAAGAGTTGTTCTTAGGTCCCTTTAGTTTACGAGCTGAAAAATAAGCAAAAAGGTCCAGAAGAACTAAACTTACAGCTCACACTAGATTAGCAGTTGGCAGCAGAATTACAATTAAAAGTTTCATTACTCTTAACTGATACAAAAAAAAAAAAAAAAAAGGAGATGATCTCAACCTTACTAGAAAAAGGATGAACATATTCGATCACTAATCTTTCGTTTCCTCTTGCTCCGCATCATATTCATATTCATCATCATCGTCATCATCTTCATCAAGGTCCTCATCATCAGAAACCCTGCTTTGGGAAAATTTGCTAAGCTCAGCTTTTCCATCTTCTTCACTAAGAATCTCCACCCCATATTTTGTGTCTCTGTGTTTAACCAAAAGCCAACGCAGTAGCCTATCTTCCTTGTTCAGGTAATGTAGCTCCTTGTTCATATTGGGTGTAGCCATCATTGTCAACTGCATCATTTGGCCCTATACAATGTAGAAACAAAACAGCCAGTTTGTTTCATTGATCAACCACGGGAAAACCATCTAGTGAAAGTGGGATAGATAATGCATAACTATATATAGTCTACAAAGTATCATAATATAACTTATCTCAATGAAGCCCTAAGCCTAGCAAGTTTCATAATATATATAAGAAAAGCTAAAAAGAAACAGACTATATTTCGAAGCAAATTACTAATTTCCCTGTAGCTTCATTTTCTCCAATTATGGCCCACCAGGGTAAATAAAAAATCTCATTACCACCACTCATGTAAAATTTCACTTGAGAATCTTGATGATTTCCATTTCCAACTGAGCCAAGTAGTAGTAAAAGCCCATGTGTCCAAATGATCTTGAGTTTAAATCCTAGGAAATTTAGGATGTTACTATATGTTGGTATTTAAGACATCTACTAGTGCAGGTAATATGGTAACACTATAAATATTTGTCAGATCCAACTTTTGCAATTATTGGACTCCAAAGACTATCTAACTTTACAATTGTGATTTGTTTTAAAAGTAAAAATCTATAAGCTCCATGGATGATGTTTTAGTTTGGAAATTGGTTGATATTGAGGTGCTCTTATTGTGCTCTTTTCCAGAGTTTGCGTGCTCCACCGTAGTGGGATGCTTTACATAAGGAACCAAATAAAATTCACCACTATATGTTAGGGTTCAAAACAGAGTAAAACACAATCAGTAAACTGAATTAAGATGTAATAACACTTCAATTAGAAATTTTAGAATTTGGAGATTTTACCATGAAAAATTTGAGGGCCAAGTGGAATCATTCAATTCTGAAATAACAATATTTACTTTTTTTAGTTATTAACATGATTAAGAAAGATCAATTCAATCATAATCATAATTAGTGGTTTGCCCTATATTATCAACCAGTTTATGAATTGTCAAGTCCAAAGCCAAATAAAAAGAAGGGCTGTTAGTAGGTAGACAACCATAAAGAGGTGTTTTTGACACCAGTGATAATGTTCAAAAAAAGGAATCACGGCACTAAGTAAGAAAGTAAAGAACAAAATGTTAGTGGATGGTAGCTAATTCAAATACTTGGATCTATTAGGCTTGTATAAAGGTCTTGAGATCAAAACCTATCACACCAGAGGGGAGGGGATTAGTATAAATTTTTAAGTTTAAACTATAAAAAGTAAATAACAAAACATTAAGAGTATGAGGAAAAATAAGGGTGAATTAAATTACCTGAAAGTATCTTCCATCAAGCTTCTTGATACCATATCCCAACTGAACGGTCCCATATGATTTGATTTCAGTAATAACCCCATTTCTTCTGCAAACATGTATGCCAACTCGTCCTATCAACTCCATCAACATTTCTTTTTTCACATGGGGTTTCAGCAGCAACATACAATCATAGAGCGGCATCTTTTCCACCCAACACTGTTTATTTCTACTGCCAAAACAAAGTTATTGTTAACTATGACCTGAAAAAAAGAGATCAAAATCCCATAATCTGCTGCTTCGGCATAAGAATCAGAAACTACTCGAAAACAAAATAATCATAGAAATATAGAATAACTCCCTCTAATTTGTTCTAGCACTAAGAAATTCTATACTCCTTCAGTCAATATATCATCCAACCAGTCCTACAGCCCCCTACTCTTCTATCCAAAACTATATATTTCCACAGCCCAAAAAAGTACATTATTAGCTTTGACTTGTTAAAAGTTATCAAAATCCCACAATCTGTTGGTTCAATTATCGAAGAAATTTCATTCTCTTGAGTTCGTTCTAACACTAAAAAGATAAATAAACACCCAAAAAAATGTATTAAAGATTCAAACTAATAACTTCTAAATCATAACCATCAAAACACTTCTCTCAGAGGCATTTCATCAAACACATTACAAGTTCTCTGCAAACTTCCAAAAATTAACGCAACTTAACCACCCAACTTCCAATTTCCAAAAATCTAGCAAAAACAACATAAACCCACGAAGAATTCGTAACTAAGAAACAACTAAAGAGAGAGAGGGGAAAAAAAAGAAGAAATTTTTAGATTTGGAAAGAAATGCATACCTATACAATCGACGAAATTGGGGTTTTTTCTGAGTTTCTTGTCTTTAAATGGAGATGTGTGAGAATTCGAATGTGAATCTAAGGTGCGGAAGCAGCTATTGTGTAGGGTTTAACGAAAGGGCTGTAGGTTATTACGACACAAGAGAAATTTAATTCGATTTTAGTGGTGATTTGTAATTTGATTTACAAATTGGGTTATTTTGTATTTCAAGGCTTTCTGAGTATTTTTTAGGGCCTTCATGTTCACATAAATACTAATTACCCTAATTTTTAGAGTGCCTATCATTTTAGTCCTAACAGATTTCACTACGACCAATTCCGATCAAAGTTAAATAGTTAATGAAAGAGAGAGACTTAATCCACCACGAGTTTTGATGAGAATCCTACCAATCTCACACAAACCCACAAACAATAGACAAAAAGACAGAAAAATAAAGAACAATGTAATTCTAAAACAATTCATATTGTATTAATGGAATGGAAATGACAATCACCAGAATAATTATCAATAAACAAAGGAAAGTAAAGATAGTCCCATCAATTTGAGGAGTTGGGGCCTCCTTTAATCTTTTAATAACTTTGTATCTCCCTAAACTCACACCTCTCTTTTATACTAATCCTTTAATTGAAGTGATGGTGTCGTACGCCTCCCACGTGGCTTCAAAAGGGGCTAGGTCTTTCCATTTAATAAAGACTTCTTGAGAGCCATCACTAATGTGTGGACTGCCAACATTGATTCTGTTGCACCAGTAGTTCCATGTCCTCATTGAGAAAGGATGGAAGGGTTGGATGGGAACCAGGTTGTGCAGGCTGCGCTTAAGCTACGATAGAAAGATAGCATGGATCTTGGCTGTGCGGTAGCTCAGTTTGTAGGCAACTTGTCCGATCTTATCTAAAATGGGAAACGATCCATAAAAGCGAGGGCTCAGCTTCTCATTAAGTTTGGTGGCAAGATTTAAAATGATGTTTTGGAGCTTTAAAAACACCAGGTCCCTAGCTGAAGAGTGAACTCCCGATGGTCTACATCGCATTTGTCTTCATGTGGCTCTGGCGACAGTTAAATTATGTTTCAGTTCATCAAAATAGAGTTGCGTTTTTCCATTTGCTGGTTCACTTCTTCTACCAAGGATGGACAATCGATGAAGCGGAGAAGAGGGGGGGATCCCTGCCATAAAGTGTTTGAATGGTGTCATTTGGTTGAACTGTGGTATGTAATGTTATACCACAGTTCTACCAAGCCAACGTTAAAACTCTCCTAGTAAAGTATTTCCTAAGTATCCCTGGCCATTGAGAACCTAGAAAACGCACGCCTAGGAAAGAAGTTTATTTTAAATCCTATTTAAAGATAAACCTGTAGTTTAAAATTATATATATTTTAATTTAATTTAATTTCTAAACTATAATAAGTTCATTGTACAAATAAAAAAAATAGTTTCCTTTCTTGGAGATACATTATGAAATCCATAATAATACTTACGAGAACATACACACTTTACAAAATTTACTAGCAGTTTCCTTATTAATCAAAACAATATATACTCCATAATATATGGACATATTTACTGCATATGAAATATAAACATAATTACTACACTAAATACTAGCAAAACCATTCAATAGTCATAATTAAAAAATCCCTCCATGCTCATAGCGTCCCTCGGAATCTCTCCCAGCTTCATGTCTTAATCTTACCTGCAAAACATTTAAAACATTTCGGGGTGAGCGTAATCGCTAGTAAGGAATATGACCATATAAACTATTAAGGTTTATTATACAAGTATATTACTTAGGACCTACCTACCTACAAACATGACCTTCATTCTTGACATAACAAGTTCATAAAAAACTATCATACACTTTAGACTTTTCTCATAAACATAAGTTACAACATAGAACATATATGACTTATGAAATATTCATGTACATGACATGCTTATTTCTTTGTCTTTATACTTTATGGTTTCATTAGTCTTGTTATCCGATCAGATTCATTTGAACCATTACCTTGTTTTGATCGTCACCTCAAAAGACTCATGGTTTCTATAAGAATTCTATCTCTGATCTTGGTTATACCTCAAGAGGCTCATGGAATTCATTCTTTAACATTTCAAATTTTTCATAAGACAACAAATAAGCTAATGCATACCAAATGAATGAAACATATGGACTAACTTCTCCCATGCTCAATCATCATATTCCTACTAAACTTCTAAATTAATTTATTCAATTTCTCATACAATACAAGGAATTTCAGTAGTAGATTATCAGGGTTTATTAGAATTAGAAACAAATGGGAATTTCCATTAAGAAGGTGGATGCCATATAGTTCGTCACTTTTCAAGCAATTTTTCCCTTATCTTCCAATTCGAATTGATTTTTGGCTAAAACATAAAAGTTTAGGTCTGTTTTTCAAATTTTTAAAACTTCAAGATCAACCTCACAGACTTCTATAACTTCTGTTATGACTGATTCAGTGAAGCATGTACAATTAAGTCTCAAAAAGCCAAATCCGATTCTATTCATTTTAACCATGTCACCTTCATTTGCCACTATATCATTTTCCATGTCATTCTAAGATAAAAAGGCCATAAAAACCTCCCTTTTTACAGAACCAAAAAGTGCCAAAACATCGTCCAACTACAAATCTCTAATTGGCTAATCATCCTCCATATGCACACATACACCAATCAACACACCCATTTAAACAACCATAACCAAAACATAGCATCACACTCATTTAACATAAATAAATGTAAGTTCCATAAACCCTAGGTGTTACAATTGTAGTCTAAACGGAGATTTTTTCCTTACCTTAGTATTCAAAGCACAAAGACACTCCTTCTTAGCTCCAAGGTTCACCCTTTCTACCTTTACACATAACCACTTATGAATTTCCCTTTTAACAAAAGATCAGAACAACTAGGGTTTTGAAACTCACGTTAAACCCTGAAATTAAGGGTCATTGGCATAAATTTTTCATATAAGGGCATTTTGGTCATTCTACCATAACATAATGATTAGCACTCATTTAATGCCATGACTTCTTTAAAAAACTTAATAATTAAGCAATCCCATTAGGTAAATGACTAATTTACCCTTGGTGCACTTTTATGGATACTTAAATCATATGTATTGTATGAAAAGACCATTATACCTTGGTTACACCGTTTAAGTCATTTACTCATATCAATCAACTTTATGACCATTCTACCCTCATTTCTCTTCAATGACATCACCCCTTACACTTCATAATGGCCACATCTCAAAATACATGTAAATTGACCATTTTACCCTTCCATTCAAAAAAAAGAAAATTACTTGAAAAGGTAAATTTTATACCTTAGGGCATCGAGATAATAATGCGGGGTTTACACCAACCACCATGGCCACTGCTTAGGTTGATTGCTACAAAAGCATCGTGATAAGCTTCCAAAGAACGGCTAATGACCTTCGTTTGGCCGTCGGTTTGAGGGTGATATGCTGAACTGAATTTCAGTTGGGTGCTAGCTGCCTTAAACAATTCTTACAAAAATTGACTGATAAACACATTGTCTCGGTTAGAAACAATCGACTTTGGGAAGCCATAAAGTTTCAAAAATAAAGAGAGCAGCCACATCCTTAGCCGTATAGGGGTGACACAAGGGAAAAAGTGATTGTATTTGGTTAACCTGTCCACTACCACCATGATCGTGTCATGACCTTTGGCTTTGGGTAACCACCCTATAAAATCCATACTAACATCCTCAAACACTTGGGTGGGAATGGGTAAAGGTTGGAGTAGCCCCGTTGGTTTAAGGGCTGATTGTTTATTCAACTGACAAATAGAGCAATTCTTCACATACTCTTGAACATCCTTCTTAATTCCCTCCCAAAACACTAGGTCTGTCACTCTCTTATATGTTCTGAAAAAACTAGAGTCTCTACCTCCTGGACTGCAATGAAATTCAACTAACAACCTAGGAATAAACTTGAAGGATAGTCTAAACCTCACAATCACAGCAACCTTAAAGGCTTCCCACGAACTGATTGGCACCCTCGATTCAACCCACTGATACCAGTTCAAGGCATGTCGCTCCACACATACTGCCACGGCTTCCACTTTCTCTTCTTCCTCATAATGATTGACCATAAAGTAACGATCATCTTGTTAAAGTAGGTGCCCTAGAGCCAATCAATTATTGTAGAATTGACTTTTTTTGTAATAATGTTCATTGATCAATAAAAGGCAATTGATTCTACATCGTGTAAATCATATCTATATGTATTGATATATGTCCTTAGAATGGTAGAACCATGACAAGGGTATCAAGTGTTTCAAATCTTGATAGTGAGAGCCCTATCAGCACATATGGTGGCCATTCTAGAAACATCAGTAGCCCCAGTATTATTCTGACCAAGGGCACAGATAATACGGTAAGGCTATCATAGTGTTGAACGACCCTGTTGAAAGGCAGTGACCGATATCACTTGTCAATATTGTTTGCTGACAACCTGGTGCAACACATGGGTGCTTGCTGTAAGCAAGTTCACTGGACTGACCCACTAGAGGATTCCATATAGATGGTAACCCCAGTGTCTATGGAATAAATCCTCTAATGAATGGAGATGTATGTGATCCTTAGACTTGAGATCACCGGAGCACCTTGTGTATCGATTGGTGTAGTTTAACACTAGCCCAACACAGTTCTATTTAGAGCTGTCAATATCGTAGTGATTGGCTACATCAAGAAGTGTATCAAGATTATGGTGGATCGACAGAGGATTCATCACTCCTGGGTACAGGAGAAGTTATCTCATGGTGCAATTCAGTAAATGACAATGACACTAAAACTGTGGCCACAGTGGGATTGAGTTGTTGCTCAATCTAATTTATTATTCTGATCATTGGTCTAGTAACTAAATACAAACATATCGAGAGTAATTGAGATTGACACTATTTCTGCACCTCAGTCTCGATAAGATAACAGATGATGAAAATATTTGATTGCATGGTAACCATATCGTTGACAGGTAGCAATTTTGCTGAATCCGAATTTATTGGGTGGCCATGATGTCTTGCTAGGGGCCCATCTTGGTCTGTGTGTAGTGAGACAATTAATTGATGTTAATCGCAATACT